TAGCTATAGTTCATTCATTTCCTTTGCTGTTTAGTGTTCTATTATATTTCAGAACACAATTCACTTACTCATATCTTGGCTGACAGAAATTAGAATGGTTTCTAGGATTAACATGGATAGTATGTAATACTTCTCTGTATGTTGCATTTTTAAATTGTATATTTTTGAGTTCTTTTCATATCTGTGTGTGCCATATATATGTTATCACATGTATGATAAATACATCTATATTATATATATATACGTACCATATATACACACATACCATATACACATATATAAACATGATGCATACTTATGTACATTTTATATATGTGTGTGTGCACATTCACACACACATATTGTAACACATATTTCTTTTTAATGGCTTCATGGTTACTATTTTGTGGAGGTAAAATGTTTTTAACGTTTTTTTTTTTTTTTTTAATTGAAGACATTTACTTTGTGTTTAGTGTTTTGGTATTCCAAATAATTTTATCCTACATCCTACTACATTTTATCCTACACCTTACTACATTTGTCTTTGCACACATATACAGTATACCTGGAAAACACATACCCAATAATGAAATTTTTGGTTCAAATAAATGGAATCTATCCTTCTCAAAAGAATATTGTCACTTTTTTTCGAAAAAAATTACATGAATGGATGCTCTTTTGTACCACATTTAACATATTTCCTTAATTTTTTTAACTCAGTCAGTATTTCAATAGTTTTAATACTTATTAGGTGTAGTTTGCTGGGTAAGAATATAGGAAAGGCATTTTGGGTACTGATGGTATTGAAAGAATACCTTCCTCTGGTGATTGGATATTTTTGGAGTAAATTAATAAATTCTAAGACTTTCTACTAGAGTCAAGCAGAGTCAATTTATTTATTGTTGAGAAGGCTTAAAATTGATGAATCTGAAGAGAAATGTTAATTACCAGCCACCAGACTACAGATAAATGGAATGTCTGCTTTGTGTGGTGATGGCTTAATATTAATAAGAGGCAAGGAGGTCACTATTTCAAAGGAGACTTTTTAGAAATATTTACCCCTTTTCATTTTTCTTTAACCAAATCTTTTGTCATTTATGTCTAAGAATATGCATCAGCAAAAAAAAAAAAAAAAAAAAAAAGGCCTTGCACTACCTGCTGAATCACACAAACTGAACTCAATCCAATCCAGACCAAATTTTGAAATAGGTGAAGTTTATCTTCAAAGCCTATCATTTCCCATGTCATGTCTTCCATGTTAAGATTTTTCATGTCCTTCACTTCAGATATTCAGGGAATCATGCTGCCCTCTAGTTGATTAAAAGAATTTCTTCCTTCCTTCCATGTAGAAATTCATCTGTCACATGGTCTATTTGTTGACTCTAAGGGACACTGATTATGTACACTGATCTGGGCTAGTATCAATTTATGATTATAAATCTTTTTAAGTTTATTTATTTATTTTGAGAGAGAGAGAGAGAGAGAGAGAGCAGGTGAGTGGGGACGGGGCTAGATGAGAGGAAGAAAGAAAGAATCCCAAGCAGGTTCTGCACCATCAGCATGAAGTCTGATGTGGGGCTCAAACCCACAAACTATAAGATCATTACCTGAGCTGAAGCTGGACACTTGAATGACTGAGCCACTATTGCACTATATTTCCCAAACATTAGCCTCAAGTTCGTAGCTTCATGCTTTGTTGGTCCTGAAGATGAGTGTATCATCCTCTTGCATTGTCTTATCTACATTAAGAAAGCAGAATCTTCATAGACTAGTAGGCTAAACTGATAGTCAAAATATATATCCCAAAGAAACCTGCAAGAAGAATAAGTAATAGCAAACTGTAGCTAAGACAAGAGGAGATGAAGATCAATCAGGAAAACACCTTTTGGACAAAGAGTTTTACATATCTCCATAATGTATCTGCCATATGCTGGATGTGAGTAAACTCTTGCATTTATTTATAGTAAAGCTTAAATTTCCATAGGGATACTTTGTCATCAGAAAGAGCATCAGTTGTGATTTACTCCATAATTGGTTTTCCTTCTGTTTGGTTTGTTTTCAAATTGACAGTAAAATAATCAAATATACATATTTTTCTTTAAAAGGTAGAAAACCTGAGACTGATTATAACAATAATAATCAGAAAAAAAATGAAATGAAGCCTTGCAGGAGTATAGAAATGTGAAAATAATTTAACCGGCACCAATAAGATATTTTCAGTTAAGAACTAAGCAATGCTTTCATGGGAAGTAATTTAAAAAATTTCATTGATCATGAAGAAATATTAACACCTGTCAGTGGAAGATGCTACTAATTAATACCTATATTTCTCTATCTATAAAATCAGAATAATTGTGTGCTTTGGTTTTATTTGTAGCCCAAGTAATGAACAGTAAAAAAGTAATTACTAGATCTTAAGACCATTCTTAATAGATGAGTGAATGACTAACCATCAGTGAGTGAGAAAAGCATTAGCATGATTAACATAATATTCCTGATTCTGGTCAGTATGAGTATCAGTGATCAGTAATATTCAAATGGAAGTTATATTCTATACTTTAATTGTGTGGAATCTGTTTTCAAAATAAACCTGTAGAATAGCATAGGAGACATTTTCATCTTGGTTCTTTAGACTACATCTTTACCAGGGGAGGTAAAGTTACTATGAAAATTTGCCATCCTCTGAGACCTTAATTCTATCCTCTTTCTTAAATTATTTGTAAGGCTAACTTCCCAGTCCAAACATTTACATTCACTCCTGCTAATCTCATAAACATAGCTTAGTCACCCATGAAATATGCTTTGTAAAGCAGAAGTCATGGGACAGCAGCATTAAAGTAACATGAGAAGATTGATATGATGGCCTTGCCTGACAGCTCTGCTCTATTAGCAGAAGGTTCTTGAGATGGCAGGATAAAGCCCTGGGCAACATATGCTATGACAATCATGGTCATGACCTATTTCTGTTATTTCCGTTTTAAGTTGGCTTGCATTGTTAGCAATTTCCTATCCATCCATACGATATCTCCAAGGCATTGCTAAGGCTCAGATTTCACATGTAGAGCTGAACGCAATGATACAAAAAAGAAAGGAAAGAAAGAAGAAAATGGAAAAGAACAGTTAATTATAGAAACAATGAAATGCATTAAACTGAAATATTTTTATTACATGTATTTATAAGAAATTTGGATCTCATATTCATTTATCATTTGTTTCAGCGCTTTGACATGTCATTTTAGATGTCATCACCTGTCCAGGAGTGTCAAAATTTTCTCTGCCTGTCCAGTCATTTAGTAAAGAAAGATAGTCATTCCCTTCCCCTATCTGTCAACTCTCTTCTCCACCCCTTACAATCTTCCCCCTTCCTATATAAAATTTTCTATATCGTGTTTCAGGGAAAAAATGGAAAACTGATATTTTAGCTGGTTTGAATATAACATCAGCAACCTAGATGCTTGTGGTAACTTGGAAGAAAATGCATTTTTGATTCAAGCTGTACTGCATAATTTAAAGTTTTTCTCTTTACAAAATGAAATAATACACATATTTAATATTTCTTGAGTTACTAAGTTCAGTTTGTGCATTTTGAATTTAAGCATCCTAAAATTGTATCTATTTATTTCTTTATCCTTCAGAAATTTTTATTTTACGCTTACTATGTGTACAGCCTCATGCAACATTAAAACTATGGTGTCTGTACTCAAGGAAGTAATGCCACAATAGTTGGAATTTGATATATGGAGAAGATTTCCAATGCAAAATAATACATGCTGTTGGCATGAGCTGACACCTTTTCCAAATCCAAAGAAGCCTTCTGAAGATGATGAAGTAGCAACAGCTAATGATTATAATGTGGACACACAAGCACATGATTTATACTTACATAGATTCTGACTGAGGTCACTGGATAGACAGCATACCCAAAAATTCCTTTTCCTCAAGGAGTTATTTATTTTCTCTATCACAAATTCACCCCAATTTCTTACCCTAAATGTGGAACTTTCCAAGCTAAATGAGTGCCCCTGTGATTAATGCTTGTTTTACACTGCACGTGGGTTGCTCTAGTACTATACAGTGGGCTTACTGCTGAAGCAACCGGGAATGGACAAGTATAGTTTCAGCCTTTACTGAGACTTTAATTCTGTTTGAATAAACTCTTACTAGATTCTGAGATTACCTCATTCCTTATAATCCTGAAATGTTCTCATTTGTAGGTTTTCCATTTCTTTGGAAACCAAAGGTTTTCCCCCATGATTTCCCTGACTTCACATGATCTATTTCAAAAATATAGCATGGATTTCTTTCCCTCTTCTCAGACAAATATTGTTCTTCTGAACATTTCCAACCACTTAACATTCTGTAAACATTTGCATGTGTCCTTCCAAGTATTCAACTGGAGTATGACCAAAACCTAGTATATAGTTTACAATTAGATTAACCCCAAGATAAGACTTACAACGCTTGGGCTGATTAGTATACAGCACTATGAATGGACATTTTTGGAAAATCATCTGTTTTACAACTACACTTTAGCACTTTTTTTGAGAGATTGTGTGCATGTGTGTACATGTGGGGGAGGGTCAGAGGGAAACAGAGAATCCCAAGCAGACTCCACACCCAGCACAGAGGCTCCAATGAGGGGCTCAATCTCACCACCATGAGATAGATCATGTCCTGAGCTGAAATGAGTCTGACACTTAACTGGCTGAGACACCTATATGTCCCTAGCACTCTTTTTCTTGCCTGTCCCTTATTCATTGTCAGATTCAAAGATGCATGATTTCTTTCATTTACTCAACTTTTTTCAACAAACTGTAATCACTAATTTTTTTCAATCATAATGAAGCTAATAAGATTTCTTTTTCTTTTTTAAAAGCTAACCTGGATACTTTTTGAAGCCTGGATTGCCTGCAACAGGAAATTCTAGGTTCAGCTTTCTTTCCTGAGTTTTACTGAGGTATAATTGGCAAATAAAACTAAAGTGTATATTTTTAAGGCATACAGTATGATACTTTGTTTGCTTAAATATGAAACGCTTCGCAAATTCGGATGTCAACCTTGAGCAGGGGCCACACTAATCTCTGTAGTTCTCTAATTCTAGTGTATGGGCTGCCAAAGCAACCACATTATATTCTGACATAGGTACACATCTGAAATGATTACCATACTAAAGCTAATTGGCCTATCTATCACCTCAGTTAGTTACCACTTATTTATTTATTTATTTATTTATTTATTTGCTGATTTATTTATTGGGGGAACATTTAAAATGTAATCTTAACTCTAGGCCCACTTTTAATTCTGCCACAGACCAGCTTTTGCATAATTTACAAAGAAGAGATTTATTAGTGTCTTTGTTCCCAGAGAAGAATACTATGATGGACTAAACGCACCAGCCTAGATATTCACATTGTTTTGTTCCACATGAGTACTGAGGTAAAGTAGAGTGACCCCAGAGTATGCTCAGCTATGAAATGAAAAGATTATCCTTTTTTAAAGCAAAGTCTGAAATTTATGTAGTGCTACTACTTTTTTCTTTCCATTTCCACCTGCTCAGGTGTGCTATCTGGATACAGTCATAAAAACCTTGTGTTTAGGGTTGATACAAAATGTAACCACAGTTTATTGAGTGGAAAAAGATTCCAGGCTATCATGCACAGGGAGCAAAAGGTTCTCCAAAATTCTGATGCCTTTGATTTCCTTTTGTTGTCTGATGGCTGATGCTAGGACTTCTAGCACTATGTTAAACAACAGTGGTGACAGTAAACATCCCTGTCGTGTTCCTGATCTCAGGGAGAAAGCTCTCAGTTTTTCCCCGTTGAGGATGATGTTAGCTGAAGGCTTCTCATAGATGGCTTTGATGATGTTTAAGTAGGTTCCTTCTATCCCAACTTTCTCGAGAGTCTTTATTAAGAAGGGATGCTGTATTTTGTCAAATGCTTTTTCTGCATCTATTGACAGGATCATATGGTTTTTATCTTTTCTTTTATTGATATGATGGATCACATTGATTGATTTGCGAATGTTGAACCAGCCCTGTAACCCAGGAATGAATCCCACTTGATCTTGGTGGATGATTCTTTTGATATGCTGCTGGATTCGATTTGCAAGGATCTTGTTGAGAATTTTTGCATCCGTATTCATCAAGGATATTGGCCTATAGTTCTCTTTTTTTGCTGGATCTCTGTCTGGCTTGGGAATCAGAGTGATGCTGGCTTCATAAAATGAGTCCGGGAGTTTTCCTTCGACTTCTATTTTTTGGAATAGCTTGAGAAGAATTGGGATTAATTCTGTTTTAAATGTCTGGTAGAATTCCCCAGGGAAACCATCAGGTCCAGGGCTCTTATTTGTTGGGAGATTTTTGATCACTGATTCGATTTCTTCACTCGTTATGGGTCTGTTCAGGTTTTCTATTTCTTCCCGTGTGAATTTTGGTAGTGAGTGTGTGTTTAGGAATTTGTCCATTTCTTCTAAGTTGTCCAATTTGTTGGCATATAATTTTTCATAGTATTCCCTGATAATTGCTTGTATTTCTGAGGGGTTGGTTGTAATAAGTCCATTTTCATTCATAATTTTGTCTATTTGGGTGCTCTCTCTTTTCTTTTTGATAAGCCTGGCTAGAGGTTTGTCAATTTTGTTTACTTTTTCAAAAAACCAACTCTTGGTTTCATTGATCTGTTCAATTGTTTCTTTGGTCTCTATGTTGTTTATTTCTGCTCTAATTTTTACTATTTCTCTTCTTCTACTGGGTTTAGGGCGTTCTTGTTGCTCTGCCTCTAGCTCCTTTAGGTGAGCTGTTAGATTTTGGACTTGTGCTTTTTCTAATCTCTTGAAATAGGCCTGGAGAGCAATGTACTTTCCTCTTAGGACTGCCTTGGCCGCATCCCATAGATTTTGAATTGTTGTGTTTTCATTTTCATTTGTTTCCATATATTTTTTAATTTCCTCTCTAATTGCCTGATTGGCCCATTCATTCTTTAGAAGGGTGTTCTTTAACCTCCATGTTTTTGGCGGTTTTCCAGACTTCTTCCTGTAATTGATTTCAAGTTTCAAAGCATTGTGATCTGACAGTGTGCATGGTATGATCTCTATTCTTTTATATTTATTGAGGGCTGCTTTATGTCCCAGTATGTGATCTATCTTGGAGAATGTGCCATGCGCACTTGAGAAGAAAGTAAATTCCCTGGCCTCAGGATGTAAAGTTCTAAATATATCCGTCAGATCCATCTGGTCCAATGTGTCTTTCAAGTCCATTATTTCTTTAGTGATTTTCTGTCTGGTTGACCTATCCATTGCTGTAAGCGGAGTATTAAAGTCCCCTGCTATTAGCACATTCTTATCTATAAGCTTGTTTCTGTTTGTGATTAATTGTTTTAGATATTTAGGTGCTCCCATATTCGGTGCGTAGACATTTATGATTGTTAGTTCTTCCTGATGGATGGACCCTGTAATTATTATGTAGTGCCCTTCTTCATCTCTTGTGATTGTCTTTAATTTAAAGTCCAGTTTGTCTGATATAAGTATCGCTACTCCGGCTTTCTTTTGATTTCCTGTAGCATGATATATATTTCTCCATCCCCTTACTTTTAATCTGAAGGTATCTTCCCGTCTAAAATGAGTTTCTTGTAGACAGCATATTGATGGATTTTGTTTTTTAATCCATTCTGCTACCCTATGTCTTTTGATTGGAGCATTCAGCCCATTTACATTCAGTGTTATTATTGAAATATGTGGGTTTAGAGTCTTTGTATCTTTTGTAGGGTTCATGTTTGTGGTGGTGTCTCTGGTATCTTTGTTCCTTGCAACCTTTCCTTCAGAGCATCCCCCTCAGGATTTCTTGTAGGGCTGGCTTCGTGGTGACAAATTCTTTCAATTTCTGTTTATTTGGAAAGGTTTTTATCTCTCCTTCTATTTTGAATGACAGGCTTGCTGGATAGAGGATTCTTGGCTGCATATTTTTACTGTTCATCACATTGAAGATTTCCTGCCATTCCTTTCTAGCCTGCCAAGTTTCAGTAGATAGGTCTGTCACCACTCTGATAGGTTTCCCTTTGTATGTTAGGGCCCTTTTCTCCCTAGCTGCTTTCAAAATTCTCTCTTTGTCCTTGTATTTGGCCATTTTCACTATGATATGTCGTGCAGAAGATCGATTCAGGTTACGTCTGAGGGGAGTCCTCTGAGCCTCTTGTACTTCCACATTTACTTCCTTCCCCAGGTCGGGGAAGTTCTCTGCTATAATTTGTTCCAGGACTCCTTCAGCACCTTTCCCTCTCTCTTCCTCTTCTGGGATTCCTATGATACGGATATTGTTGCGTTTGACCGTATCGCTGAGCTCTCGAATTCTTCTTTCCTGTTCCTGGATCAGTTTGTCTCTTTTTTTGTCAGCTTCTTGTTTTTCTATAATGGTGTCTTCTAAATCACTTATTCTCCTTTCTGCCTCTTCAATCCGTGCATTGGAGGCCTCTAATTTATTATGGATCTCATTTATCGCATTTTTTAATTCTTCATGCCTATTTTTATTTTCCATTCTGTCTGTAGCCATAGTTTCTTTGATGTCCCCTATGTTTTTTTCAAGCCCAGCTATTAATTTTACCATTATTATTCTAAAATCTTGTTCAGTGATGCTGCTGATATCTGTTTTGAGCAGTTCATTCGCTGTCATTTCTTCTTGGAGTTTCTTTGGAGGAGAGCTCTTTCGTTTCGTCATTTTAGTTAGCTTTCTGGCTCTTGTTGGTTTTCAAGACCTGTTACGCTCTCTGTTTCTATAAGCGCTGCTATATCCAAGAAGACTCTTTGACTGTCCAGGGCCTAGTCTTTCAGAGAGTGTTTTTTGAATGGTATCTCTTGGTCTCTCTTGTTGGGACCTTGGTTATATTATTTTCCTCTTCGTAGTGATATTTGGGACTCTCAACCTTGTTTACTCTAGCTTGTTTCTTGAGGTAGCCCTGGAAAAGAAAACAGACAGACAAACACACAGGGAGTAGGAGCACACAAACATAAAGGCTAATTCAACTAACATGCAAAGTGAGAGGGAAAATGAAAAAGATAAGAGAAAAGACGGAGGAGGGAGGGCGAATAATGAGAGTACAAAATACATAAAAGGGTCAAAAAGGGGAAAAGAAAAGGAAAAAAGAAGAAAACCGATGGACAAAAACGGTTTAAAGCATATACCTGGATTTCCCAGCTACAGTTAAATAGCCGTGTGTATGCAGTGCTGGTTGAAGAGCATAGAGAAAGAGAGAGAAGGCAGGGCCGGATGAGGCAGAATTGGAAATAGAATGAACAGGCAGAAGGGATAAGAAGCTTTTTTCAAAGAGGTAAAGGGTAGAATATGGTTGGATAGGTGAGAGAAGGGTGCTGGAATTATCCAGAGAAACTCTATAGTCTAATTACTCCTGAGAGAAAGAGATGAAAATGTTGGTAGGTGTAGAATTTACATTTACAGAATGGACTCGTTGTGATAGTTTAAGCAAGCTGGCGACCAGAGTTTGTCAGGTCAGTGTTCTGGGGAATAAAGAGAGAAAAGAGAAAGAAGAAGAAAAAAAGAAAGAGAAAAAAATGAGAAAAGAAAAAAAATGGAAAAAAATACAAAAAAAGTGAGGAGGGCAGCTCTCTGCCAGGGATGGGCGTGGTGTGATCCAATGCCTCAGGCGGGACCTCTGCCTTGGCGGTTGTGGGGAGGAGAGTGATGGTGCTCCAGTCCCTTCTTGAACCAAGCGCTGCACCTCGCTTTTCTGGGCATGTAATATCCCCATACCGGGGGCACAGCCGAAGTTGGTTGCACTCTTCAACCCAGGCCACTTCCAATTCTCCAAATCCTAGTCCGTGAGCCCTGCTGAAATTGCCTTAGACATAGCTTCCCAGTCAACCCCCTCGGGGCAATTCCAGGCCCCCTGCCGAGCTCTGGGGGTGGAGTCAGAATCGCTGCTTCCTTCTCTGGGTCAGGCTGGCGAGCATGGGCGGGGGCTTCCCTGCTGGGTGCTCTGAGCCCGAGCCCACTGGAGTGAGGAAAACCGGGTCCCTCTATGGCTTGTCATCCAAAACACGAACTCACAGGCTAATTTCCCAGTTTTTAGTTCCTTGCCTTCTCTCTCGAGTCCCAGCCAGGTAGGAGCGTGGACGC